TTGGTTTATCGCTGTTTTCGGATTAAAAGTGTTCGATTTAAGCGGACTCCACTGTGTTAAAAGTTTTGCCTTAAGACGATGATTGAAAAGTAGGACTGGTTTTTTTTCTAGGAAGCAGAAGTAAAACTGGTGGACAAGCCTTACCTCAGATGTCGTCTGTATGCTGATTTGCGGATTAGCGCCGGCCAACTCAGCAGCAGTTATCGTTAATGTGCCTTGTGCAGACCAGTTGCCGTTGAGATTCTCCAGTCCACATGATGGCTCAAAAGTGAAAGGATCAGCGGCGAAGTTAAATGTTTGACCAAAAACACCTGAAAATAGAGAGCAAGGATTACGGTATCTATAGCAATCACGTCTTGTAAAGAAAAAAAAATCATTTAATTTTTTCGTTGACAGATTTTGTCTGTCTTTGCAACCCTAAAATGTTCATTCATTTCTTAAAATTGAAATTGCTACTAAATGTATCAGCATGTCGGAATTGCAAAAGTTTTGGTGTATTTTTTTTCTTTCCGAAATCAGTTACTGAAATTCGAACAACGAACCAGTTGTGTATAACAGATCAATAATCAATTCTAATTGACTGAAAGGGAGATAATTTACTAGGAAGAAATTATTAGACTTTATGCGGGTTCCCCTTTACAATGTATCCACAATAGATGTACTTATAGGTCTATGATGTGAATTTTGGGGAAACGATCACTGATCTGTAATAGCACAGCGTACTAACATCAAGTAACATCATTGTTAACCCTATCCGAACGCCCTGGGGTCATTTGGCACCCCCAGGGTTGTATTCTTCATATTTTAGAATACTGCTAGTTCGAAGATCTCTTTGAAACTTTCAGTACTTCTCAAAAAATCATTTTGACAGACTGCTAAGCAAAAGCGTACGGATCGGATTAACAAGTAAATTTCCTCTTTGGAAAGTGGTGGCACAGATCCGAGTTCCCCACGTCGTATGGATACGATAGTAAAACACGACGTACGGATAGGGTTAAGTGGTAGCACAGAGTTCCCCACATCGTATGGATACGAGAGTAAAACACGACGTACGGATAGGGTTAAGATAACTCTAGAGGTAAGCCTAGTGTTTTCCACCGAAAAATGCAAATCTCAGGAAGTTCTCTTGAAAAACAAAAAAACAGACAAAAAACAAAAATGTGTCACGACGCGGTGGAATCAGGCGCTCGTCAATGTTTGTGTATGTGGAGGTATTGGTATAACCTGAAAGCTGATTTGTTTGCCTTGCTTTCAATGAAATAAAATCCAATTATCTTGGATAGAACTCAATATATCCGCCACTGAAGGAAGTGAGGTTGCCTGGTTTCAGTGGTGAAATTACCAGTAGCGAGAAAATGGCCGCAAAAGTTTGAAAAGTCCAATAGCTATAGATCTACAGTCCTTCAAAACAGAAAAAAAGATATATTTTGTGCCTTCAATAAGTGGTTTTTTTGTGGTAAAATTCACATGGAAATGTAATTTTATATGGACATGAAAGATAAGTTGAGAGCAAAAACAAAAATTCAATAAAAATTTCCAAACTTTCGGAAAAAATGCCCGTTTTTCCGATTTCTGTATTTTGACGAGCGCCCGGTTTCACCACGCTGCCTCACAAATGTAGTGGAGAGTTGGACTGAGTCACTCACAGGTCACATGACACAAGGACAGTCCCAGAAACAGCAGCAGTGTGGCCGGCGACATGACTCCACGCACTCAATGACCCTGAAGGAAAAAAACAACAAAGACCCCCAAAAAGCATATCATTATCCTTGTTCTAAGTATGAGAAGTAAGGAAAGACAAAAGGTAACAGGTAGGCTTACCACCATTGTGAGGCATCGTGGGGGAATCAGGCTCTCGTCAGTTTTTGGGCATGTAGAGTTATTGGTATCATCTTAAAGCTTGATCACTTGTCTTTATTTCGATGAAAAAATATCCATTTATCTTGAATACAAGTCGATATATTTGCAAAAGAAGGGGATGGGGGTTACCTGTTTTCAGAGGTAAAATTTGTGAGAAAATGGACGCCAAAGATTAGTTATTTACTTAGCTTAAGAGTCCGCGGTAACAGAAAATTTACACTTTTTTTTGTGCCTTTAATCTACGTTTCACAGAAAAATTCACACAGAAATGAGTTTGGTAATGGTCATGAAAGGAGTTGAGCCAAAAAAAAAAAAAAAAATTCGAGAAAAAATCACAAACATGCGGAAAAATGCAAGTTTCTTCACTTCGATTATTTTGACGAGAGCCTGATTCCACCACGCTGCCTCACGATATTCGTGTGTTTTACG